TAAGCAATGCCCTCTCTCTCCACTTTGCCTAGCCTGTCAGTGAAACCCTGTGACCCGACACAGCACTCATCACCTCACCAACAACAGTTTTACAACTCAATTAGCGAGCTCTAACCTTTGAGCAGACTATCATTATGCCTCAATGCAGCGACCCGTTAACTGGGTCCCTCTGGAAAGATGAAAAAAATGCCCTGAGTCTGCAGATGTGTGCGGCTGTGCACATGCGGCTAGTTAACAGTCAGTTCATTGCGAGCAACTAATGCTCCAATGACTCACTTCTCATCAAATCCTAATGACTGACCCAGTAAGACTTCATGATTGCAATGCAGAGGTCAAGCCTGTCCTTTACTGCTTTACGTATGCAGCTCTGACCCACTCAACCAGACAACCGATGGTGGTCAGCATGATAAAAAGCTCATCTGGTCTTGAGTGCACGGAACAGAGGCGAGAGAAGGAAAGTGAGCATGCCAGGAAAGAAATGGCAAATATTAGTCTCCTAAAGCAACAGATATGAACAGTGGAAAAGAAACTTAGCACTGAAACAGAAACTGGCAGGATAAAAAAACTCGCTGAAGTGATATACTAACAGCACTCTGTGTTTTATTAGCCATGGACACAACACTGGTCTGACAAATGGTATGAGCTTTATCTTTACCCTGTGCTTTGCCGCATTATGCTGAGAGCTGTGGTGGCCCACAAGTCATCTCAGGCTTTGAGTGTCTCCGTTTGTCAACAACTTCCTTCTTCCCTTATCATCTTTAACTTTCCCTTCTTGTCCTCTGAGACTAAATCCCCGTCATTATCAGTGACAGCAGAGAAACTGAAAGGCATACATCACTTTAAGGGGGCGCTGGATGACTGTCTGTGCTATTCAACTTCTTTCTGATCCCCAGACTCGATAATATGCGTGTACAGGCGTGTGGCTGCACCTTGGTATTGATCCCAAGTGGGATTATTACATCTCCGCAAAGGCTGTGCTGGCCTCCTTCATTTTGTCTCCTTATGCCAGTAGAGACATTATGCTAGTCGGCAGCACAGCAGGGTAGCCAGCTTAAGCCTTGTGTGTGTGTGCGCGTGCACACAGTAACACTTTCTCTTCACAGAGCATTAGGAAGGGAGAGTGGGAATGAGGTGGAGAAGCTAGCTCAGAAAAACTCCCTGTGGAGCTGGAATGGCGGCTGCAACAATGAAGAATTTACCAGCTGATACAAGGCGAATACAAAATCTGCAGGACTGGATGTTGTTGGAGTTACACTAATCTGCAGCCATACTCCAGCATAAATATAAGGGCATTATTGTGGTCCAACAGCAGCCTTAACACATTTACATGATCCGCACTTAGATTTCCAGCAGTAGAGCCTGAACATGACACAGAATATGCTGCTTACAGATGTGGTCTACAAGGGCTTCTAGCACCAATCACAATGCTTTTAGATGAAATGTTGTACTTTGCATATTGTTTGGGATTTCTGGCAATCATAGAGATGAATATAGCATATATGGAGGAAGGACCAAACGAACTAATCTACCTTAAACTGCAGTCAAGGACGTGCAATAATGAGAAAACCAGACAAAACAGGCAAAACTCAAATTATAACAGAGTAAGCAGTGTAGGAAATAAAGTGCAATGTATAGTGCTTGCATTCAATCAACCAAAAGCGGGCCCTGGGATTACAAACACTTATAGATGAAAAGCACAGAGAGAAGACGTCAGTTACACACCTGCTTTGCTTATGCCACAACAGTCTGAGCCACATAAGACTAAAAAGAAATTTGGCTAACATGCAAATTAAAGCAAGTAAAATATACAAAACACCAATTAAATGGTGCTTTAAGCCCAAAACACTTGTTTTTATTCTTTGTTTTTAAGAAAAACACCAAAAATATGGGAACAGTGTTACAAAACTGTTTTAATTCCCCTCTGTGGCCAGTAGATGGCAGCAACAGCACACGAGACTCCTTCAGCGCCTTAACACCAGCTTCTCATCCATCTGCTACACCTTCCTCTTTGGTTGGCAAAGCCAAGCTACAGCATTCTAGGGTCCATTTTAAAAACTCCTCTTAATCAGGTTACTTACTAGTGACAAAAATGTTCCTGTAAAATTCTGGACCAACGCACAGATCATCAAGATTCATCTGCTGCTCCCCTGTGCAACCCCAAGCTACACTTTGTACATTTGCATTATGCATGACCAGTGGGGGTCCAATGGGTAAACTGCCAGTCAAGAAGAATTAGACTGTAAAACAAATCCTGTAACTAAATGGCCCTGAGCATATTTTTTATTAGAAGCGTTAGCCGAGGTTTAGAGGAACAAAGAATATGAAGCAATTACACGAGGCCGAACAGAACTATAGATGGCTGCTCATGATACAGACTTAAACTATGTAATTAATTACTAATTACAGACCTGGGCATTTAAAAACATGCAGGTCAAAATAAATCATATGCTACGGCTGACATGAATAAATCTCAGTTTAACCTCAGAGATCTCTCTACTCTCAGAGTCTCTCTTTTCTGCTTGATACTTGTTTTAGTGTGTTGCCATTTTGGCTAAAAAGATTTCTAAAAAACTATACAAAAATAGATTTATTTTGTTTATTAAAAAGTCAGTAAGTTAGGTCTCAGATCTAGACGGGGCAGCTTGACAGAGAGGATAACGAGGGGAATTCAGCCTGCTGACTCAGGTCCAGATGGCACTTGACATGTCAGGGTCAGGTCACGGAGTTTCAGGGGTCCCAAAGCTGTCCCTTAACCTGTTCCATAACCACAGCGGCACCAGTGTTCAATGCCACTGTTGTCAGTGAGAAGTCATCTCCAGTAATACAGGCGCATAAACAAACTCTTCCCCTGAGGCCTGAGAAGCTGGTTCTGGTCTTGTGACAGCAGAAAACAGAAAGAGGTCTCACGCTGGCTGTAAAACAAATTCTTTATAGTATCCTTCTGCTGTGCAGCAGCAAGAGAGAGAAATGAATTACATGTAGACAAATATTTTCTCAAACACCAACTCTTGACTCTAATTAGCTGATATCTAATTAGCAAATAAACTATTTACGACTGCAGCTTGCAAACCAAGAATGAAAACTCCCTGAAAACTCTAAAGACATGAACACATGTCATTACAAAACAAAAATCACACAAACACAAATAAAACGACTACATGACAATTAAAAAGAAGCCCTGCTTCCTTAACTTTGTGCACTCAAATCAGAAAGTAATGAACTAATCAAGCACATTTAACTTCACTGATCAACCTCACAACCTCTGTCACATGTGTCAAATTTGGCTCTTTGTTTATCACTAAAGGTTCTTAATAACTCTTGGCCAATCAGCAGCAATGTGTGTCTCACGCACAGGTCACCTGACGAGACAGGTGGTTCTCCGCAGCAGCTGGGTGCAGAGATCGAAAACCATAAATCTTTACCGAATGTAAAGAGAAGCGTGTTTATCCTTTTGGCACAAGTTTTTATTTTATAAAAAGAGGGAAAAAAATTGTCCTTCATGTCTGAATCCATGTACAACACAGATATGGAGACACATCCATGCATCTACAGCAGATTGTGTGTCTTTGAAAGGCACATTGTGCTCACAGGGATGGAGCTATAAGGGAGTTTTACGTCTGTGTGCAGCCACTAGCCTACCAGCAGAACTGTAATTAGAATGTATTGTTTTGCTTGACCTTATTTTATAAAGGCTAATAAGATTTTTTGTGGACATGTTTGCATGCAAAAGGCCCCTCCAAACAAATTAATTTATTTGATTTCATTAATTTAAGTACAACAATAAACTCTATACGCCTGGCCCTGACGCAACACTCGTTTTC